GAAACCGGCCGCACTGCATGCGCTCCCAACACACTTTACACACGCGCACCACTCCTAACACAAATCTTACCTATCTGTTGCTGTAGTACAGATAAGAAGCGGACAAGCCCCCATCTGTCATGGCCTGGCTCTTGGCTCTTGGCCATAACAAAAAGTGTGGAAAGGACAAGAGTATATATAAGAAAATATATTTATTAACCAAAAACTAAACGGGAACCAAAACTAACATAAAGACAAGGCAAAGTTTAAACGAGAGTGGCTGATCCCAGGACAGGTCCTCCGCGGAGAGAGAGATCGAGGGTCTGCTCAGGCCTTTAAATCCTCCGAGTCGGGGAAACAACAGAGGGGCCGATGTTGATTGTCAGGTCAAGAGTGGGACACTCTTTTCCCGGAAGAAAAAGCAGCTCAGTCTTGTCAAGGTTGAGCTTGAGGTGGTGAGCAGACATCCACTGAGAGATGTCAGCTAGACAAGCAGAGATGCGTGCGACGACCTGGGTCTCTGAGCGGGGAAAGGACAGAATTAATTGGGTGTTGTCAGCGTACCAGTGGTATGAAAAACCATGCGGGCTAATGACCGATCCGAGCGAGTTTGTGTACAGAGAGAAGAGGAGGGGACCAAGGACAGAGCCCTGAGGGACCCCTGTAGTTAATTGACAAGGGTCGGACTTGGACCCTCTCCAAGTGACCCTGTAGGTGCGGTCTTCGAGGTATGAGGTGAGGAGGGAAAGTGCAGAGCCTGAATATCAGGAGCGATAGTCTGAAGGAGGTTTGAGGGGATAGGGTCCTGAGGACAGGTGGTAGGACGGGCAGAGGTAATGAGGGTAAGAACCTCACTTGGAGAGAGAGAGGGGAAAAGGAGGTTAGTGAGTGGGTGAAAGGTAGGTCTGGTGACCCAGCGGTGAGTAAAGGTGAGTCGGAAAAAGAAGAGCGAATATCAACCTTATTTCAAAGTAGTTAACGAAGTCGCTTGGCAGAAGGGAGGAGGGGGAAGGGGCTCTGGGGGGGTCCAGGAGGGTGGACAAGATAGAAAATAGTTTTTTGGGATTGGAATAGGAAGAATGGATCTTATCTTGAAAGAAAGTGCTTTTTGCCTGAGAGATCGAAGAAGAGAGCTTGATAGGTTAGGACAGTGGTTCTCAAACTTTTTTCAATAATGTACCCCCTTTGAAAAAAAATTCAGCCAAGTACCCCCTGATCAGCACAAAAACAATTTGTTAAGGAAAAAAAGCCTGTATAAAGAGGTACAGCGCTGCCCCATCAGTGTCTGATTTATTAAAACAACAACCTTGTAACTGAGAAACACTTAAATGCTACATTTCAAATGTTTACAATCCATCACTACATTCATGGTAAACCAATTTTAACATCATGCAATAACACAAAGACGACATTAGTTGCATTGAACTGATCTTTTTAATAAGTTGTACTTACAATATAGTGAGAAACATGGGCTTGTGCTTCACTGAGGATCTTTGTCATTCTGACAGGGAGGCAAACTGCAGTTATTACACTTCGCATTTTGAAATATGTGTAACTCTGTTAATATAAAACCCACACTGATCAAACTTCGTTACTTTTCCTAAAATTGGTATATTTATTTATTTATTTTGGGGCGTGGGGAATGAAGAGAAAAAAATATGAGCATTTTATGAGCATGGGATTTTGACCCCTCATATAAACATATGCATAATGCTGCACTATACTTTGCAGCCACAAGCCGTTGCCAAGCAACGCTTATTGTTTAGGTGTCCTTTGATAAGCAGGCAGTCATATCATTAACTAGAACTATCTAGATCTGATAGATTTGGACATAAACGCAAGTGAAGTATAACCGGACGCGAGATAGAGATCAGAGATCAGATCAGCTGGTGCTGACGGAGAACACGCAGCTCTGCATGATCACAGCTCCGCCGCGGACCGTTGAGTGGAGCAAAATGAAATACACCAAGAGTTAGACCTAACACACTTAGCTAGTTTATCTACTCTGGAGCTAGCTATACTAGTTATAAATATGTGTATTCTTTACTGTCGTGTCATTTATTACAGGTTCAGCGAGCTGCACGAGACTGACGGGCTGTCAGGAGAGGGAGAGGAAAAGAGAGCACCCCGTTTATTTTTCCCATTTTATTATCCAGAATTACTGCAAACCTTTGAATAAAGTAGTTAATCTACTATTAGTAGTTTGTTTAAATGCATTACTTATGTTGTTTTTTTCATTAACATAAAATAAATCTCACGTACCCCCTGCAGTACTGCAACGTACCCCTAGGGGTCCGCGTACCCCCATTTGAGAACCACTGGGTTAGGAGGTCGTCAGGGTGTGTGGATTTCCACCATTTACGCTCAGCTGCCCGAAGGATGGTTCTATTAGCAAGCAGTGCGTCATTTAGCCAGGGAGCAGGAGGGGACTGACGAGCCTGCCGAGATGTGAGAGGACAGAGAGAGTCCAGAGAGGATGAAAGAGTCCAGAGGAGAGTTTCTGCAGCAGAGTTGGAACGAGTCAGAGGAAGGGAGGGCTGAGAGCACCGATGAGGTAAGAGTAGAGGGGGAGAGGGAACGAATGTTACGGCGGACAGGTGCAGAGTTAGAAGAGATTAGTTTGTTATGTTTGGAAAGGGGTAGAGAGAATGAAATGAAAGAGTGGTCGGATGTGTGAAGCGGGTTTACAGAGAGGTTAGAAGTAGTGCAGTTCCTTGAGAATATGAGATCAAGGACATTGCCAGCTTTATGAGTTGGTGGGGACGGAGACAGTGAGAAAGCAAAGGCGGTTAAAAGAGATGTTAGTTCAGATATTCCCTGTCTGGAGGTTGAAGTCTCCGAGATGTACAGTGGGAGGGCCAGTTTCAGGGATGTGTGAGAGGAGATTATCTAATTCCTCCAAGAAGTCCCCCAAGGCGCCTGGTGGACGGTAGAGAACAACAATGGATAATTGTATAGGATGGGTTACTGTGACGGCATGGAATTCAAAGGTGGAAGGAGTGAAGTTAGGTAGCTTGAAGAGGGAAAAGCTCCATTTGGGAGAGAGCAGGAGACCAGTGCCACCTCCTCTGCCAGTGGGTCTGGGTGTATGGGTGAAGGAATATGCTGTGGAGAGAGCTGCTGGGGTGGATGTGTTGGATGGAGTAATCCAGGTCTCAGTTAGAGCAAGGGAATCCAGAGACTGCAGGGAAGCGTAGCCAGAAATGAAGTCAGCCTTAGGAACAGCTGACTGGCAGTTCCACAGGCCACTTGTAACTAGATGTTGGATCTCAGTGGAGCATGTGGGATAGACGAGAGCAGGCCGGTTATAGCGATTAGGAGATGCACAGGGCCAGTAATAATTGCGAGAAGACACATGAACAGGAATGGAGAATATACACATGATTTTAGCAAGAGTGGATAAAAACACCAGCGATACTTAGCTCATTTAAAGTAGGATTTACCTCCTCTTTGCCTCCCTCGTGACTCCAACAGGACTCTATTGTCTTTGTCAGTCTGACGCTGACGCTCCAGGAAAGTGCTGCCTAAAATGGACACCTGATTGCTGAGTTGTCACAGCTGTGGGGCCACGCCCCTTTAATTAGTTAACTCTCTGCAGCTGATGGGCCTCAATAGGAAATCGAGACTGCCTCACTCCTGAGTTGTTAATGAAACTTTTTAGTGGCACAATAGTTTACAATTACATTAACCCCTAAGTTATAAAGTTATGAGTTTAACCCTTAATACAGTTACCCCTACTCAATAAAGCTCTTAGTATTCTACAAATGTTTAAATCAAAGTTAACCCTAGCAGCCAGTTAGTTCAGTTTTAAGGTTTCTGTCAAACTAATTGTCCCAAATTTCTGCCTGAAAATACTGTAGCGGTTTTGAGATTAAAATCACAATTTCAATCAGATCAACTACAGAGCATTTATACAGAGCACACACACTGAAACAGAGAAGTCTAGAAGACACCAGTTGTTATCCTGTCCAAATCGAGTTATGTTTCTCAAACTGGACTGCACTGTGTTTCATGCCTCAGTGCTCCCTGAAACAATGACCCCCCTGTCCACGTTGCCAGGTTGTGTAATGCAGCTTTGTTTATGGTCCCATCGTATATATTAGAAATGTAAGCTAGGGTGAGTATACATTTTGTCTCTGTCTGTGCTCGTTATAAGTGAGGAACATCAATAATAAAAAATCAGTAGCACCTTTTTGAGATTTTTCAACAAATAAACGATAACGTTAGTTGTAAGTTTAATTGTGCAATTCCAATTGTGTATGGTGTTATTTAAACTTTTCCAGTGACAAGTATTTGAACTTTTGAGATAGATATGAATAGACATCCCTAACTGTTTCAAAAGTCTGAGATTCCGGATAAATACATGACCTGGGGCCTCAATACAGAAAAATCTCCTTACTGATTGGCTGATACAAAGTTAAATTAGAAAGCTAGGAGAAATCCTGTCTGTTCCACGTTGTTCAAGACGTCCATGCTTATTTCCACTTCAGAATCCTGAATATAACTTGAATATGATTCTTCATTCAGCACTCGTCCTGTCAGGCCTGTATCTTTGATAACAATGTACCTGCAGGCATCTTGGGATGTCCGAGCCATGATAACAAAGGCTCCCACAGATTTTAAATTGTAGCCCTGAGGCATGAGGCAGTGATCGTACAGTGCTTTGTATTTCACAGTTCAAGTAGCCTTCAGTAATTATATTTCAGTGTTTATTTTATTCCCAAACGTCAGCGCCATACAGTCCTTTGGGGTGTGTTTCAAATTGCTTGGACAGTCCTTCCTAATATATGATTCCTCACTTTTGGAATCCCTGAGTTAGGAAGATTAATTATGTATTCCCCCTGTATGATTGTTATCGTGTGTCTGTCCTACTGTTTTTATTGTTTGTCTGTTTTGGACACTGTGCACTGTGACAGGTTTGCACTCCAAAAATCTCGTTGTATATTTGGTACGGTGACAATAAAGGCTTTCTATATATACCAAAAACACATAATATTTTTAACTGAGATTAGATCTCTCACCTCTTTGCGGCTCTCGTCCAGCTCCTTGTTGCTCTCCACATTCACCATGGTGCTGTTGGAGTTGGGCAGGTTGCCCCCCCCACCAACGTTATTGACGCCTGCTGCTCCGTCCTGAGCTACACCCCCACAGTTCTCTGCAGGGACCACGGCCCCACCTCGATGTGTCAGCTTGCCATCTATGATCATCTCCATGCCCACCTTGTTGGGCGTCAAGTCTCCCTCTGTTTCCACGACGATGCCGTGACGCTTGTCGGCACGGTAACGCTTGCCCATGTATTTGTAGAAGAGCAGGCGGCGGTCTGCGATCCACGCCAGGATGACACACACCGGGAAGTACAGCAGGGTCACCAGGGCCTCCCACACCTGGAACACAGGACAGATGTTGCCTCACTAGTCTGAGATAATAATAATAACTAGAAAATGCATTTCCTGCTGAAAATGCGTGCGAATGCTGTAAACTGTGTACATTTGTTGCTGAATTTAGCTGAAAATGCAGAAAAAGCTGAATATGGTATTAGTTGAATGGTCTCTGTAGCTGCTTTTAGCTACAGAAACCAAGTGAGTGTGTTGCTGAACTTAGCGGAGAAATGCAGAAAAGTGAAATGATTTGAATCAAAATTGTTACAGCTCAAATGCATTGCAATGACTTTGTTGAAAACTTGAAAGTGAACTGTTAAACTGGAAGAGTAGGAGAAATAGTGAAGAAGCTTAATATTTAAAACAAAAGGTTTAAAAAAGGTATAAATAACAAAATGTATAGCCTCAATGTCCTGAAATAGCTAAATAATGTAATAGTTGAATGGTTTCTGTAGCTGAAAGTAGGCTGAAGGAGTTAGATATTAAATGTAAGTAGTAGTGAATGAATGTTTACAAACACCTGTGTGTGTAAGCCCAGAGATCAAAGGTAACCATGGTGACAACGTTATCAAACACCTGTTTACGTGAGCCCAGAGATCAAAGGTTGGCATGGAGATGTGGAAAGGAGAGCCTTTCCATTGTTCTGAAGGAGAAATAAACCTCTTACATTTCTAACTATAGTTTAAAAACGGTAGCTGCTTTCGGTAAAATGTCAACGTGTGTGTGTGTGTGTGTGTGTGTGTGTGTGTGTGTGTGTGTGTGTGTGTGTGTGTGTGTGTGTGTGTGTGTGTGTGTGTGTGTGTGTGTGTGTGTGTGTGTGTGTGTGTGTGTGTGTGTGTGTGTGTGTGTGTGTGAGTGGGGGTGGGGGTCTGTGTGTGTGTGTCTGTCTGTCTGTCTGTCTGTGTGTGTGTGTGTGTGTGTGTGTGTGTGTGTGTACTAGTCTGTCTGTGGGCGTGTCTGCTCTGATTAGATGATGCCACTCAGGTGTGTGGCCCCAATCTGCCCAGCAACACCATGGTAACCAACTGCAGAACTGAGTCCCATTAAGAATGCATTGAGGATTATATCTGACCATTTTGCCACCTGTTCAAAAACTATGGCTCCTATCAAAAAATGAACAGACTGTGAGCATCAGGGAACCCCAATGAACTGATAGATGTGTTTTTGGGGGGTTTTGTGTTTAAAATGTGGAGATGGGAGCAGTTTTTTTTTATTTTTCATCGTAGGAGAATTTTTCCTACATTTTTCATGAAAAATGATGTCCAAGGGTTTGGGAATGATGGCAGGTTTAAAAAAAAAATTGGCCGAATTTCAAGCACTCCTCCACTCTGTTTTGAGATCAAAGCACTCTAGACTTAACGAGCTGCGCAATACACACTAATGTTAAAATCTGAAGAAGGCCTCTTTACCAAGCTCCAAACTAAGTTAAAGTGGACCTATCATGCTATATTTGAATAATATAGTGTAGGACCATACCTATATAAGGCATATTTATACTTTTTTTTTTTCAAAATACCAAACAGATCATGCATTTTAGCCATGCCTCATTTTGCTCAATTTGACCATTTCTAGCTCTGTTTTTGCAAGGGCTGATTCTGTGAGAACAGCACCATCTACTGGCCTGGCATATGTACTACAGCGTCTCCAGCGCTTTCGAACGGCAATGGCCGTGGCTGTCTCCTCCTGATTGGTGGAGTTGGCCCAATAGCCGTAGCGCCACTGTCCTGACGTCAGGACAGTGTTCAAATCTGGATCAGTTTTTATCAGATCCGTTGCAGCCCCTTTTTTAGAGATTTGGGTATGGAGGAAAATAGAGAGGGTTGTGTTTTCTGACACTTGGTGAGTTCCCTGGAACACCGGGGAGACATATTCATGTATAAATGACGTACAAAAGTGCATTTTGCATGATAGGTCCCCTTTAAATATCTCAAAAAGTGTAAAAGATATGAGTTTTATAGCTGAAGGTCTTGTGATCATTTTAAAGTTGGAATGAAGTCTTTAGCTGAAAGTATGTGGAAGGAGTAGCATTTGGCGCAAGTTGTAGGTAAAAGAGGATTTGAAGGTTCCTCCCATTGACTTCCATGTTAAAAAAAGAGTTTAAAAAGCTGAATATTTCAAAAAGTATGACATATTTTGAAAAAGTTGAAAGTTTCCCATCGATTGCTGAAAAGTCTGAATAGTTTGATATTTGAATGGTTTCTGTAGCTGAAAGTATGCTGAAGTTATTCAACGGCAAAGTATTGGTGGAAATAAGAATAAAGATTCGAAGAACTATAGTGGAATGCTGTAAACAGCATTCGCACTAATAAGAAGAAGATGATTCAAGAAACAGAAGAACAATGGTGGAATGCTGCACAGCATTCGCACTAATAATAATAGATTTATTTTGTTAGCGCTTTTACAGGTGCTTCTGATGAGCGGAGGCAGCGGGAAGGGGTGTGGTGGTGCAGCAGGTCTGTGAGGTAGGGGGGGGCTGATTGTTGAGGGCTTTGTGCGTTATGAGCAGGACTTTGAAGTCGATTATTTGACAGTGTAGGTTCTGGAGGACAGGAGTGATGTGGTCTCGGGAGCGGGTGTGGCGGGCAGCAGAGTTCTGGATATGTTGGAGTTTATTGAGGAGGTTGGATGGTATGCCGTAGAGGATGCTATTGCAGTAGTCGAGTCGTGATGTGATGAATGCATGAATCAGGGTTTCAGCAGCAGAGGAGGAGAGTGATGGGCGGAGTCGGGCAATGTTTTTGAGGTGGAAAAAGGCGGTCCTGGTGATGTGATGTTTATGTGGTGATTGAATTTGAGCTGACTGTCGAAGATGACTCTGAGGTTGCGGATGTGAGGGGGGGGGGGGGGGGGGGGGGGGATAGAGTGTTGCCGTCAAGGGTGAAGTTGAAATTCTGGATGGCTTTGGTACGGGATGGGGGGCCGATGATGATGATGTCTGATTTGGCACTGTTCAGTTGGAGATAGTTTGTTTGCATCCATGCTTTTATTTCTGAGAGACAGTTGGTGAGAGTGGAGTGTGTTGTGGGGGTGATGGTTTTTGTTGAGATATAAAGTTGGATGTCATCGGCGTAGCAGTGAAATTGAAGGTTGTGGCGACGAATGATTTTGCCAAGGGGGAGCATGTAAAGGATGAAGAGGAGGGGGCCAAGCACCAAACCCTGGGCGACGCGTTGGGACAGAGGAGCAGTGGACGAGGTGCAGTTGTTGATGTTGATAAACTGATGTCTGTCGGTGAGGTATGATTTCACCCAGGAGAGTGCAGTGTCGGTGGTGACGTGGTGTTGAGTGATGATTCGAGGAGGGACAGCAGGATGGTGTGGTTGATGGTGTCGAATGCTGCGGTGAGGTCGAGGAGGATGAGGATGTTCAGGTTGCCGGAGTCAGAGGAGAGGAGGAGGTCGTTTGTGATTTTCAGAAGAGCTGTTTTGTTGCTGTGTTTTGATCGGAAACCGGATTGAAATGGCTCAAAGAGGTCATTGGAATTGAGGTGGTATTTAAGTTGTGAGGCAATGACACGTTCAAGTATTTTTGACAGAAAGGGGAGATTTGAGATGGGCCGGAAGTTGGACATGATGTCGGGTGTGAGTCCAGGTCTTTTGAGAATGGGTGTGACAGCAGCCAGTTTGAGAGAGGGGGGAACTGATCCAGATCTGAGGGAGGAGTTAATGATGGTGGCGATGAGTTGGGAGATGGCAGGAAGGCTCTCTTTAACAAATTTGCAGGGCATTGGGTCAAGTGTGCAGGTGGAGTTAATTCCAGTCATGAAGTCGGACAGTTGCATGGGGGTCACAGGGGAGAAGTGGGACAGGGGATTGTTGTAAATCGCCACAAAAGCTATTTATTTGTAACCTTATTATTATTGAACACCTTATTTTTAATTGCAGACTCAATGCCAACCAGCGCACACCTGATTATAAACCAGCGGTTGCAAGGGATACACCTGCAGTTATATTGAAAAAAACAACAACTTGGCCTTCATAAGAATAATCATATTGAAATATGCCAATGTTGATATGTCCACAGTCAAAGCTTATCTATCCAAGTAATGATGTGCAAATCCAGGTTATTAATACCCGACATGTTATGAGAGCCAAACCACACTGCAGAATGAACCACCATTCACCAACCAACCACTGACCAGACGGGTCAGCCCTAGTGAGGGTGAAACCATTAATTAGCCTTGCAGGATTCATAGAGTATACGCTAAAGCTCGGTGAGTGTCTCACCTCCACGACGCCGGGCGTGATGACGGCCAGGATGAGGTAGAGCCAGATGTAGGCGAAGATGCTCCAGAAGGAGGTGATGAAGAACACCCGGAGGTGTTTGATCTTTCGGGTCTCACCCTCAGGGATCGTCCACACACAGATCCCCAAGATCACAAACATGTTGAAGGCGGCGCTGCCAACGATAGTTGCTGGTCCCAACTCACCAGCCTTGAAGCCGTGACCACACACCTGCAGAGAACACGTGTGTGAGGAGTGTGTCAGGAGGGGAGGGTGGATACAGAGCAGTGACAAGCATCCAAACACACTCTCTACAAGGCACGGACAGTCATTATTGTTCTAAAATAAGAGAAGAGTAATGCCCACGCTTTGAAAAGCCAGTCTGATGTCCATCAATCTCTTTAATTGAATAACATGTTATCTGCTGAAGAGGTTATTGTTTTACAGATACAACTAAGAAAGAGTGTTTTGATTTAGCATAGAGAAATGGAACATGATGAAAACAGAAGGACCCAGAGAGAGAGAAGCAGGGAATAGAGTGCTGACGGCATACATAGATTCACATCAAACCCAAAAGTTTGACAGGATGTTTGTGTGCGTGTGTGTGTGTGTGTGTGTGTGTGTGTGTGTGTGTGTGTGTGTGTGTGTGTGTGTGTGTGTGTGTGTGTGTGTGTGTGTGTGTGTGTGTGTGTGTGTGTGTGTGTGTGTGTGTGTGTGTGTGTGTGTGTGTGTGTGTGTGTGTGTGTGTGTGTGTGTGTGTGTGTGTGTGTGTACCTCTATAACAGACAGCAGTATCTCTGGAGCACTGGAGCCGAGAGCCATGAGCGTCAGATTGGACACGGTTTCGTTCCAGATTCGAACCGTGGCCACGGATGTTTCCCCGTTAGGCAGAGTGATGGTCACCTGCTTCTCCTGATGGCCCAAACACACATTATCTGGACTAACTGTACATCAATTCCCTGGAAAACTTGAAGGTTTAAACTCACTCACTGTAATTTCCCACATGTGTACCCAGTTATTAATTGGCTTCAGAATGCTTATAATCAAATGTTTTCTGATTTGGAAAATTCACTGAAACTAGTTTTTATTGTTCCGCTGTCTCTGGCATGTGTTCCCTGTCTGCCAGCTGAATATTATACAACACTCACTAACGGCATGTTTAACTCCTATAAGGCTCAATAGTGTACCAGTTAAATGTTTTGGATAGGAAGGCTGCATGAAGATTTAATCTTGTTATTTATTAACAGACATGATATTGTTTTACCTCTTAAACCTTTTATCTTTTTCACATGTTATTTGTCTGAACTATTTTCCATCTGAGGATTTAAAAAAGTATTTTAACAAACGTAGCATACCTGAGAAAAATAAAGTTAATGTGAAAATAAAAGAGACTTTCTGTGCAATTAACTGAAGCCATATGTTATAATTTTTCATTAAAATTAGTTAGCTTTAAAAAATGTATTAAGTTTGATGTTTGATACACACATTCTGTCTTTGTTTCATCATGTGACTGTTAGCAGTGTTAGGGGTCCGTGGAACAGGGCTCTGTTACAGTTTATATTTCTCACTGCTGTGGGGATATGGTACGCCCTTTTTTCTTTCAGGATTCAGCGGCTCTTTTTGATCTTTTTTTTACTCTTAGTTTGGATTAAATGTGATTTTTGTAATAAATGCTTTATGGAATTTGACTGATCTAAGAAGAGTGAGTTCTGCCAGCCTCGACTATCAGAATTCCAAAATCCTTCAAATAATAATAGCTATTGATATGGTAATTCTGTTTAAAGTGAATAATTCAATTATATTATAATCATATTTCCAAATTCATAATGTAGTATACTTTATGAGACTATTTCATGAAACAACAATAATAATTGTCCTCGGGTGTGTAGTGCAGTGTAATTGAGGTGATTTAATGTCAATTAGGTCAAATAAATTATCACAATTAATATTAAATAGAATTACTATATCAGATCATTATGAATTCTTTAAATACTTAACTGCTGTGGCAGTTATTATCAATCCTTGTTTATGTTTAATAAATATCCACTGTTTGATTAATATTAATGATAATGAATAATTATCATACCGATACCGTTATGTACTGTGCAGGTCCCTCCATTAACGAGGCTGTTGTTGAATTGCAAGCTGCTTTTAACATTATTCAGACTCAGCTCTCTGAGCTTAAGCTTCTTTTAAATGTTGATAAAACCAAGGTAATGCTCTTTTCAAAAGCTAAAAAGACACCAGAGCCTGTTTTAGATATTTTAACTACGCAAGGAATAAAACTTGAAGTGGTTGCCTGTTACAAATACCTTGGTATCTGGCTTGATGATTGTCTCACTTTTAAATGTCATGTCAATAACCTGCTTAAAAAACTGAGGGTTAGACTAGGTTTCTTCTACAGGAACAAGTCCTGTTTCTCGCTCGAGGCCAGAAAAAGGCTAGTCACTGTGACCTTTTTACCTTTGCTGGACTATGGGGATTTGATTTATATGAATGCACCTGCCAATTGCCTGGTCAAGTTAGATGCTGCGTATCACAGTGCACTGAGATTTGTGACAAACTGTAAAGCATTAACCCATCACTGTACCCCGTATGCAAGGGCTGGTCTGCCTTCACTAACTGCACGGAGGCTCAGTCACTGGTACATTTTTATATATAAAGCCATGTTAGGGAAACTTCCATCCTACATCTGCTCCCTGATCTCACGGCGAACTGTAAGTGGCTACTGCCTGAGATCGCATGCTGTGGTTTTATTAAATGTGCCAACTGCTAGGACTGTCTTAGGGAAGATAGCATTTAGATGCGCAGCTCCACTGTCCTGGAACAGTCTGCAATTAAAATGGAAACTGAGCAATCTGGTGCCACTCAATGTTTTTAAAGCTCGGTTGGATGCTACTCAATCGGAAGCTGTTGGTACCTGTGCATGTGGATAGTATGTAAATTGTAATCCCTGTAATGCTACTGTATGATGTCCTTTTGTTGTTCTGTTTATGTTTTTAATGTTTCATGTGGAACCTACTTGAGCAGGTCTCCCTTGAAAAAGAGGTCAATGATCTCAATGGGATACAACCTGGATAAATAAAGGTTTGAAATGAAATGAAATAATGGTTGATAAACCAGACTTGCTCAGATTAGTTCCCCGACATGTTGGTGGCTACTTTTGAGAAATATTACTTTTGACACCAAAAGTGAGGCGTAGCTACCCAACACCCCTTACAGCCCGTCCCCAGAAAGCACAATGTGGAGATCAGTGCACCACTGAGTGCTCATTATAGTTGTGAATGATGATTTGCTGTATGAGAGGAAATGACAATTTTGACATCATTATTCTTATCATTCTGTTTTTAATAAACATGATAAAATGACAATGGTTTGATATTCGCAGTAATCTTTACTGTAAATGTTGAAGCGAACCTTTTGACAGTTTTTTTATTTTGTTTTGTCTTGTGTTTTTAGTGTTATTTTATTTGTATTTATTTGTGAGATGGGGATCTCCCTAGGTTGCTATTAGTCTTTTTCTCTTAGGAAGCTTTCCTTACTGAGGGATATGACCATGATAAGAGCAGTTTGAATCCTCTAGATCAGCGGCCCCCAACCTTTTTCAACTCAGGGCCCACATTTCTTTTCGCGGCCCACATTCAACCATAAACAATACGGAGGCTAAATAAAGTTCTGATTGGTCAATTCAGAACATGTGACACGTTGTTAATCCAGTAGAACAGACCGCTGTCAAGGACTGTAATGACCGTTGCTAAGGAGGATCAAGAAAGAGAAAGGAAAAGAGGTTCAAATAAAAAAAAATCTTAATAATGAAATGTTTCCACACAAATCATAATGTTTTGCAAATTATTTGGCGGCAAATATTGAATTTACATTTACACCCTTTAATATTTTATTTGGGCTTTTAGATGAAGACCGCACCAAGTTAATACATACAACTATTCTTCTGGCTAAAATACATATTTTTAAAAGTCAATCAAGGAGTAATCTTAATTTAAGGTGTTTGAAGAGTAGATTAAAAATACAATTTATTTTTGAAAAAATGATTGCCACAAAAAAGCAAAGGGTGGCTCAACATGCCATGAAATGGGAAATGAGTGTGTTGCTGCTTTGATGAAGCCTAATTTGATAAAGTTTCAAAATAATTTCTGAAATATTTCGTTAATAAATATTTCATGAGTAATATAGTTGTCTTTGTCACATTTTATTTGGCATTAGTAAATAATTATGCACATTTACAGATATTTTACATGATATGAGTGATAACACGTGTTATAAGGGCTATTTTGCACAATAGGTGTGCCTTGAGATTTTTACTTGTCCTTTGGTGTGCCTTGGGCACAAAAAGTTTGGGAACCACTGAGCTAGCCCACTCTGTTCTGATGAGTCCACCACCGTTACAGCGGAACATCAGTGATTATGTGTTACAATGGCGTTACTTAGCAACCAGAAAATGACACCAGTAGGCCTAAGGAGGACAAACAGATGAGAATGCTGCGTGGGGTCTGGGTGCCGTGTTGGCTGGACGTTGCACGGCTCGCTGCTGCGAGGAGCGGACAGTGTGAGCTGGGTTAATTAATTCCTGCTTGCTACGTGGGATCTGCGAGACAGCGAGACATCGCGAATGGACGCGGGAAGGTCCACCCCCCATCATGCTGTCCTTCTACCGAGGCGCCACCGAGAGCATCCTCAGCAGCTGCATCACGCTGTGGTTCGGAAGCTGCACCGCCGCCGACCGCAAGAGCCTGCAGCGCATAGTGAACTCTGCCCAGAGGATCATCGGTGCCTCACTCCCCTCACTACAGGACATATACAACACCCGCCTCACCCGCAAAGCACTCAGCATTGTGGGTGACTCCACCCACCCCTCCAACAGCCTCTTCAGCCTCCTGCCTTCAGGAAGAAGGTTCCTCAGCCTCAGCTCACGCACCTCCAGGCTGGGCAACAGCTTCCTCCACCAGGCGGTCAGGTTGCTGAACTCTCTCCCCTCCCTCCCTCTCTCCCCCTCTCTGACATCTCTCCCCTGAACTCTCCACCCTGCCTCCGACCTTTCTCCCCTGCCCCAAATGGTCCTGGACTCTAACCCCCTAACTCACTTTTCTGCCCCGCTGCTACTGCACTGAAACTGTACTTTGAACACTTAAATTATATTATTGACATTTTAAACTGTATACCCCGGTTATCTAGGCCCTTTGTTTTGTTTAATGTATACCCCGTTTATCTAGGCCCTTTTTGTTTTTTGTTTGATGTATATATGTCACACTGTAGGACTGCGGGAAACGATATTTCGATATTTCTGGATGTACATTGACAATAAAGCTGACTTTGACTGACTTTTGACTTTGAAGGGGGGGGGGGGTGCTGAGGGGGCTGCAACACCCCCATCTGTGAGGCTCCACTAGCACCCGCACCCCCCCAACCACCCCCAAACGCAGCGCACCTACAGTGTAAGCGCCACAGTTTCGCCGCTGCGAGGCTCCACTAGCACCCCCCCCAGCGCATCACAGTTTCGCCGCTGAGAGAGTGTGTGTGTGTGAGGAGCTCCACGGATTGGTCCATATGGTCACGTCACTGTACCCAGGAAGAAAAAGAGAAATCTCCAAAGAGGCGTTCTGGGGCAGCATAGACAGGTCTTTTCTGTGTTACTTTGAGGGTTTGTGACTCTGCAGACCGTTTACATGCAGAAAAAGCTGCATAACACACAAGGGGACGGGTAATAACCGGAAAAGCATGACATGGGACCTTTACGTTTTCCGCACTCTTGCGGGACTATCTCCGCGTATAAAAACAAACAATGGATGTATTTTATGAACATTTATCCATGCTGAAAGTAGATTTAAATGACTTAGGAGTGAGATAGAGATTATTATCTAATATATGCATCCAATGAAGCATTGCATGACGTCTGTTGATGATCAGAGGCTGTTGTTGGGGCTGCATAAACGTTTTTTTATTTGTTTTTGTAGGCAGACCATGCAGGCCAGCCCGATGGTCACCAAGGTTCATGTTTTAATAGCATTTTAACAAAAAAAGCCCAGGCGAGCCTAACATGTGAAAAAATGGCTTAGACCTCAGAGAGTTAAACTTGGGCATGCGACCATAGTTTTACTGTATTTTGTTTGGAAAATCCACAGCGGAGGTTTGTGTCGTACTACATCCGGTGTATTTTGCATATCTCTCAGTAGCCAACGATCTGTGGTTGGCTCGGACATAAACTCCGTAATAAATGTAGTCTACATTTCATAAGAGGTGTAAAACCTGTGAGCATTTTAAATCGCATTTGAACTAAATGCTTATATAATCTGTAGTTGTATTTGTATTGTTGATTTAATGTGTGAACGAGGCGATACAGAGAAGGTTAAGCTGTCATTATTAGGCTGTTATGTACTGTGGGAGTGGTAATAAAAAAAGAAAAAATTAATTTTCAATTTTTATTTTGTAATCATCTTGCGACCCCCACTCGGGGTCTCCCACTTTGGGAACCCCTGCACTAGAACATCCTTTACCAACATAAGTAAGATAATGCTGTCCCACAATACCTTGTGGCTGCATGATATTAAGTGACGCATCAGTCGTCATGACTCATGACTCATGACATACAGATGAAGTTCATGTAAGTAATGGTGCTTATTACAATCTGGAATCTTATGCCATAACTTGTTAAAAATTGTTATATATATTATTTTTTTTATTTCTCCACTTTGAAACAAATAATTACTGATTCGTGTGGTGTTTCCCAATTTAAGTTTGTTCTCTAAAATGTTGAAATGGTGATATGTACAGAAGCAGATTTGTATTCAAATATTTTAAAACCATTAAACTCATTTGGATTCATGTTGAGTGGACAGATGGTGAGAGTGAGAATAAATAACAATGATGTTGGCATCATAATGACGTCGCTCAGTGAGTGCAGTCGGATTATTTTTAGTCCTGATGAATTCTTCTTCACATCATTTCTTAACCCGATAACATTTTTCATCGAGGCCAAGAAAAAGTGTTTAGGAAAAGACAAAGAAAGAGCTAAAGTTGAAGAGCTAAATTCAAGCACTTTCAATTACCCATATCTACACTGAAAGAACAGAAACGTTGACTTTAATTAAATGTATTATGTCAACAGATTCCACATAACTGTATTGTGTTAGTTGAAAGCAATAATATTAAGTACACAAAAAAAGTGTTTTCAGTGTGTCTATTTTTCAGTGTCTTCCTTGTTTTCACACAAATATCTAAACTTTCAAGACTCTTTAACACTCTCATCCTCACCTGGGAGGTGATGACCTCGATGGAGGCCATGAAGCGGTCTGCGATGATGGAGACCCCCAGGAACATGTACATGAGCGAGGCGAAGTAGATCACCGCCCGGGCCACCTGCTCGCCCACCGCCGGCCGGTTGGGCTGCCAGACGGGCAGCAGGATGCCGGGCCGGCACATGGACACCTCCCCACACTTCTCCTTTTTGGCAGGCGTGGTGCTGTTGCCGTAAGGCATGGAGGGCGGGAAGAAGGAGGGGAACATGGAGGGGGAGGCCGAGCGGGCCTCGGGGTCACTGCTGGGGAAGCTGCTGGGGTCACTGCGCTGGGACTCCGACTGGCAGGGAGGCAGTGGGAGGAGGAAGAGGAGGATGAGGAAGAGGAAGGGGGCGGGAGCGGCCAAGAGAGACATGGCGGCGTGTTGTCCCACAAGAAGACAGCGGGGATAGGCTGAGGAAGAGGGAGGTGGGGGGGGGGGGAGATACTGCGTAGAGCTGAGGGCGGTGTGACTAGCTCAC